GTATCCAGTGACTGATGCGGTGACGATGGATAGTGCCACAAGCAGATGCTGCTGCGTCATGCATGGCGACCAAGATCCTATTCCACTGAAGCTCAGTGTCATTAAGACAAGACAGCGGAAGTTCGGTACGCTGTGCCTCTTGATAAGCTGAGACGATTTCTCAGTTACCAATTGGTGGGGACGCTTGGTGTGCCTCCCGGTGGAATTCATGGAGAAACGACGGTAATTAGGCATAATCAGAGTCGACACGGGTACTCCAGTATGAGCGGCAATCCAGGATGGAACCACGCCATCTGTAACTTATGGTTATGTGGTTAATTTGTGTCTATCGCTGGCCAACTACAGGAGGACACCAAGTAGCACTTCGGCGCCCACTGTGTCTAAAAGCAGTGCTAGTAAGAAACAACTGGTGCTCCGCACACAGTTGCAGCAGACGTTCACCGTTGTCAGTCCGTTCGGAGTTAAGCCCACACTTACCACCTAGTTGAGTTTCTGAAGAGCTCAGACGCCCTACTTGTACGTTCATATCTCCCGCAAGTACTATAATATCTGAACTAGTAGCACTGCGCAGTAGGGCGTTCAGTTCGCGATAGAAAGTGTCCTTGACAGCATTAGAGCTGCGGTCGGTAGGAGCATAAACGGTAATAACAAACAAACAACGTTTTGTATTACTTCGTGAATCCGCCTTAGCTGATGTCGTCAAACGGTCTGCAATTAAACGGTTTTTCACCGGAATCCAATCAACCAACCATGGCTCAGTCTTGGAGCATAGAATGATACCTCCACCAGCTTAACCCGTGAGTGCTGTATCAGCGTCTCCTGATGCGTGCAACCAATGCCGAGAGGCGAAGCCGGGTGTAGTTAATTCAATAACCCCGTTAGGTTCATTGGTCCTAGTTTTGGACACACAACACACATCAATACCCAGTGTGTCCAAGGTGCGTGCGAGTGCAGCCTGTTGACCTGTTTGTCTTAGAATGCGAACGTTGAATGTCGCCATGGAAACGGGATAGCGTGGTCTTATAAGGGCGTTTTGCCCATAGGCGTCCGATAGGTGCTGTGGGATGGTGCCTGCAGATGGTTCTACTCTAGTGCAACTTCGATTGTAGCTAATTAAGGTGGGAATTATAGTGGGAAGTTTAGTAATGAGGGTCGGGATGGAAGTTAGAGAAACAGGTGGAAAAGAAACGAGGCGCCAGCAGTAGCATGTTTTCGCTTATACGCCCTGGTGTATGCAGCAGATAAGGCGACCCTTGATAAGCTGCGCGATGGCCTATGCAGGATGAAGTTTATGTCTGAAGAAAACGTCAAGGTTGTATGTGGGCTGAGATACTGCCAGGGCGCCTAGACCTAGAAAGGAGGATGATTAGGGTCCTCATCCAAAACCTTTGGCTCAAAAGTCTGTCTGCAAGGCAGCGGAGGTGGGAATGATTTAATTTCACAGAAATGTAGGCCATCCCATTTCAAACCCGCAACCTGGAGGACCAGGAGTCTGAGTTTTCTGACCTCTCACCGTTGACCAACCTGGTGGGAGTAGCTTTCAAGGTGTCCGGAGGCATCACCCAGTATAGCTCAATGGATCAATGAGGTACGCAAACCGTCGCACCACGTAAAGGTCCAGTCTCGTTGCGACGGATGCGGGATACCAAACAAACATGACTCAAACTGCGAAGGTAGCTATGGTCGAATGCAACTAGCCTCTATATATCTCTGCTTCTGATGGGTTAAGATTCACAACCGTATATGAGGGTTGAACGCAGGACTGTGTTGTAAACTCCGCTCTTCAGGGATGTCGCTGTGGCGAAAGGTTGCAAAGGTGTCTCGACGTTTTGCTGAACGGTTTGCGAGCTGCTCTATTTCACAGGCGTTAATGTAGCTGACTGGATACATGTATTTCCGGATGAATTCTAGCCGACTCCCACCAAGGGTTATCGCGTGGGTGGACCCTTGCATAACTCGAGAGCAGTAGGTGATAATACTCTCATTATTTTTTCAACGTCATTGCTTCGTTTTGAGAAATTCACCGGCTTTTAACTTGTTCATTATACTACAATACAGAACGGCACTCCTTTCAGGTGACGTCAGTGCGTCCAAAGTAATAAAATGTCGATATGAGCATTTGGCGGTGCTGAACAGGCTAGTAGATCAGATCAACAATTAATCATGACTAATGAGTAGATAGATTTAAGTACAAGTATAATTTTTTTCAACGCAAATCGGTGCCAAGCCGCAAATGTAAGCCACCAATCAGGAAGAGCACCAGGCGGTTGTTTCGTCAGTAGTGCGCATGCTCTCGATCTCTTGCTGGGGATCAAAACCCATGAGTGCTAGTTGCTTATACCACTAACCAGGAATTTATGGCCCTGTGCTATGGGGGTCGATAGCCGACCATCATATATTGAAAAGTAACGCGATCTAGCTGGACCGATCCTCCACTGCCTTGCAAGTTGCTGCCGGTGCAGGGGATATAATTTGGCAATCCGGTATAGGGAATTTCCTTGATATTACCCTGAATGCACACAACATTATGAGAACCGGTAGAGTTTAGGATTGACAATTCCAGTCACAGAGGTCCACACTTGTGAATCTGTTCAAACACTAAGCTGAGATGCAATATGATGGAAGTATATCAACCATACAGTCGTCTAGATTGTAGACGAAATTACTATACCTCCGGGTCTGCCAACCATGGAAGCATCTTCCAAAATAGCCGCGCCCCCACTAAATGTCTACGAAAAACCTTTGTATTATGCGATATCAGCCCCCGGAACTAATGCCGAGATGTGTCTTTGAATCAAATAACTACTTTGGCATTAGCATCCTCACTGACGCATGTAGAAGGGTGGTCAATTCAGTTGTTCGTGTTAATGAGCGCTAATTTAACAAATAGTTATTTCTTTTTGGTGGGCGCATCCGCCGTCTCACAACCCTGCTTCTAATATGCCACCACTATGTCACCTTAACAATACACATCCTATTTTGTCTGCACGAGTGTCCTTCGAAGTTATTACTGACTCCTTTATCAACCTCGTGAACCCCTTTAAAGGGTATACATTTTACCCGTGATAACTCATCGTATTTGGTACAGTTTGCGTGCTTACCGTTTTATCCCAGGGGTACTCTAATTCACAGTTTGTAAGTCATAACTTGGGGATAAACTTCAATGGATGTGGTGAATGAAGATGCTGCAGAATACGCTTAGGTATTCCTCATATATAAAGCAGTTACTGTCAGCGTGGAATGAAGTTACGGGTCACTCGAATTTGAAAGACCATCCGACGTATTTAGTTAACCTGGTTGTTTGACTTCATCATTAGGTTCGCCACGGTTGACTTACTGCGGTATACTAACTGCGAAACACTAATGTGCTATCGCCAGTTTTAAATTTACTGCGCGTGTTAGCCGTTCTTCCAGTTAACCTCTAGCTTCCAAGTCAGCTTCTTCTGGGAGGCTTTAAGGAATACAAGTCAATTATTTATCTTGGTTCATGTGGCCATGGCTAAACATCTGGGAACGCCACTGTCCGTTAAGTGCACTATTGGAAAACTGAAGTCAACAGTCAGTTGAGTGAAATATGCCATTACTGCTATATACTATAGCTTCACAAAATATTTCGCATAAGGTGGGTAACACAGGTTCTTGTCTTTGGGCATTACTGAAACTGGTGCAGTCATGAATAGGAAAATATAACAAAAATGCCGGAATTGTTCCCAGTTTCTTTGTACAAGCAACATTACCTGTACACAGGAACACCTTCTATATTAGAATGCACCATAGTATTGCAGTTGGGCTTCAACATATATATATATATATATATATATATATATATATATTTATATATATGGTTGGCGGCATCTGGTTTCGGATGTGCATGTCACGGTGACCAGCCACAGCACACCTGCGCCTCCAGAGGGACCATGGGTGGCTTGCGCTGCACCAACCACAGCTCCAATCACACACCCCTTATCCAGTGTAAAACTGAAGGTATAAGACCGGGATGCATACGGATAGGAGCTACGTTTCATCAAAGGATCCGGCTCGCACTCCTTCACAGGCAAACACAAGCACGCTGTATTTGGGAATCAAGCGCACACAAGGCGGTGGCTGGACCGTAGTCCGCTCCACACTGAGTGCATGGAACCACTCTTTCAGCCTAGCACGGCCACAAAGAACGTGCATCCCGTCCCCTCCAGCAATGACCAACCGTCTCCTAAAGCCAGTATGGACGAGGTAGTAGGTAAAAGACTGGTAACTATGTTGTCAACTTGCACATCAATCGCAGCCACCCCGGGGATATCAACCAACAGCCAATCACTTGAACTGACAAGATGAAATAAAATAAATCCAATAATGCATACAGATACGGTGGCATAACACTTCCCTAGATTATCATATGAAGTAAGTTGGTTAGCAAAGAATCAGTGATAAGTAAGAAATGTCCATAGGTTACTTGAAAATGTTACAAACGCAACAAAGTTACCGAAGACAAGCGCAATCAGCATCCGCAAGGTGGGCAGTTAATAGAAGATTATTCAGGTAGGCAGAACAAACCAAATAAAGTGGAATGAAATTTACCCAGCTTAAAAAGATCTAGTTTAAGTGTAAGTTGGTTTACCCAACTACAGTGAAGAAGCATCAAGAATGCAACATCAGCCTCAGCATGGGGTATATATATATATATCTATATATAGTACATTAGTCTAGATGGATAACAGATTACAAGGGATATGAAGCACAGATCAGGAAGCACGGTACAGCCCTGATGATAAATTATTTCCGTATGTGGAAGGACTTGCCAGCAAGAAAGCCTTGTCTCGCACAATGAATTTGTTTACCTTTTCTGTTAACAAATGTTGATGTAATAATTGCATGGTCAACCATTAAATTCGACTAGTAACAAGTCAAGGTTTAAAAAAAGAGACAACGCAAGTTGACAAGCCACGCGGTTTATCAGTATCCCGTGTTTAACAGCGACACGTTTGGCCCTTTCTTATTCGTGATTAAAATTTTTCTGGAACCACTATGTGGCCAATAAAAGCTGGCACGTTAGATTTGTATACCAAGGTGACGAAAAACGGATGATCCACTCGGAAAGTTGGTGGACCAAATCCGCTTCGGAAGCTGAAGAAAACCCCCGTTGTTGCTGCAGCCGTTGCACCTTCTTCGTCGACCTGAGGAAAATAGGAAACGAAATGCCACTGGAATGCTGGATGACAAAAGATAGCTTGTGTAAACGACTTTCGTGCACCGCCTTTCCTAAACTGGTTCCGCTATACAGGCAGACAGCTAAAAGACTATGCAACCAACTACGTAGCATGGATAGGAACTGACATGTAGACATTTCTGAAGGCATCTGTGTTTATACCAATTTGGGTGAGAGAAACGGGCTTAGTTGATTTCCAAATAAGCAAACTCACGAGTAGAGGGATTCAGAATGATTTATTTGGTTAATTACATTTAGATTACAAGCCAGATAGGTCAGCTACCTGTCGGAGAGGCAAAACAGCCTAAGGCTGGGGTGCACTTTCTCGGTGCAAGGCAAGGGCCTGTGAACAAGTCGGCTAAATCTGTGAAGTCTCGCCCACTTGGTTGGTCGTACCAAAAACCCTGTCCCACGCGTGCCAAGATTGTGCAGCCGTGACACGCGAGAAAACCTTTCAGGGAATGGCCGTACCAAATGTGCAGCCATACGCGTGGGCATTGTGTGAGCCTGGGCAAGACTGCTCAGCCGGCGTTAACTATCAAGAGGGAGGAAAGTTTACGGCCAAAATATAACTGTATGGGCGTGTATGTTTGACCTACAAATAAAACCATGAATGACTCTGCTAGATCGCTCTCTGGTCAACCAAATTGTCTCCCTTGTGATTTTCCCCGGCTCGGTTGAACGCCTGGTGGTGAGCAGAGACCGGTCCACGTTACGAGGCCAGCTTTTACGACACCGACCAGTCCACGAAATTGACAGACGGTCATTTCATTTCCGTTTAACTTGTCCGTGGTAAGCATCTCCGCGGCTTTCTTCAGTCCATGATCGCCAATACTTTGCATCGTTAGCCAGCATTTTATGCCACTGAGACATAGGGAACGATATCTAACCATCATGGCCTAAAATCGAAGTGAGATACAGCCGGACCCATCCTCGAATGCCGTGCAGGTTGCTGCCCGTGCAGGGGACAGTGGTTGGCTCTTAGTTGTCATGACTTGCCAACCAGTAGCGCGACACTGATGAGTATCAGCAGAACGAAACGGCCGATTTGCGCTTCTCGGATTGTTTGTTGGCCTACCTGGTCTGTATTCTATTTTCGATGGAATAAAGAAATCGGTGAAACACTATCCATGCAAAACGTGATGTGATAGAGTGACTCTTGACTTGACCTCAATGAATCATGTTGGTGAGTGAATCGCTGGTAACACGGTTTGCGTGAATTTCACTGCTGTTGATCTGTGAAATACGCACCTGTCTCCCCGAGGATATTCCCTGTGACAAAAAGTACAAGGTAATCCTAAAGGTCTTTTCGAAAAGGCGACGTTATTAGTGGGAGTTTTATGTATTTTTACAAGGACGGAGAACATCTTGCGCCCAGACCGATATCAATCTGTCGAATGGACTTCGCATTCGTGGAGAATGTTATGAAATAGAGTCAAGAAAATAATCTGTCCGTGCCTTCAGCCGGTGTAAAGCGACATTTTGAGTGGGCGATTCAATTAATCTCCTAAACTGACACAAGCATTGTGACGAAATGCTGTATCTTATTCAATAAAACACGTACTCGTGTTTGTAAGGTGCTTTATGTGCAAGTGCAGAATGACGAGTTTCGAACAGCTGCCGCCGTCGGTGTATCACACATCGACAATGAAGCCCCATCGTTGGTACCCATACGACGGCTTATTCGAACAGGCGTTACGTATTTAAGTGCTGATAACTAATGTCAAAATCTCGTAAACATATTTATTGGGGCTCCTTAACTGGCACTTGTAACAAAGTCCAGCCTTAACAGTTTATTAGTATACGTGTATGCTGTGGTTGCTGACTCCTTTATGATGCTTCTTCACCGTAGTTGGGCTAAACCAACTTACCTAACATAGGCCATCTTAACCTGAATAAAAGACATTCCTCTTTACTTGGTTAGTTCCATTCTGTTAAACTGCTTCCTATTTTGTGTCAATGTTGCATGTTTGCTTTCCCTTAGATGCTATCTATTTGGTTGTTTGATATCCCCGATGTGGCTGCGCTTGATATGCATTTTGACAATGCGCCGAACTGTTTTACACCCCCACCTTAATTGGCTCTAGGAGAATGTGAATCATTGTTGTGTGGGACGTGGTGCACCGTCCTTGTGGTCGTAGTTGGCTCAAAGTATGGTTCCATCCGGTGTGGAGCGGACTACGGCCCAGCCACCGTCTTGTGTGCGTCTGGTACGCATGATTCCCTTCACAGATAGACAGGAAAGTTGCTGCTGTTCATGTTGAATCAGGGTGGGCTGGCTCGGTTGCAGAAACGTGGCTGGCATCCACATGCCTCCTGATCTTAGTCCTTCGGGTTTACACTGGTTATGGGGAATGTGGATGAAGCTGTGGTTGGTGCAGCGCAAGCCACCTATGATCGCTCTATAGGCCCAGGCGTCATGTGACTGTACTAAAAAGGCCGCAGTGACGGGCAACTCCGGATCCGGATACCATCAACTATACGTTGTTTAGCCCCACTCCGGAGAACCTCTAGTGAAAATACGATCAGTCGGCTTAAGAATTATTAACATAAATGTAATGCTAAAGGAAGGCATTAATAGGAAAAATAACTAGCATAGAGAAGTAAATCGAAATACATATAGCTCTGGTTGTCTGTTCAGGTTTAGATCTCTTCACCGAGCGGAGCAATTTTGCTGCAGACGTTTCGTCATCCCATGAGGCTATTTCGTCAGTGCGCAGTAGCTAATCTGAATGGTTTTTCGGCCCCTGGTAGATAAGCTGGTGATGTTTGAACTTGCCCACTTTGATTCACGTCTTATGGCCATTGCTATTTCTTGGTTCGTTTGCCACCTGTTTCCATCTCATGGCGTTTAGTAATCCGCCTAGGTTATTTCTTTCGCAGTTGCTAGTAAACCGGGTAGAATTCAGTGCACAGATTTATTGAATTCTCTGTAGAGAACCACAATTGAAGGCAGTTGCTTCCTTTTCTTATCTCTCACTGCACCCAAAATTCCGTTTTCTCCCACTCAACCACGTGTCTTTCCCCACCAATGACCATATGAGCTTGGAACAGTCAGCGAACGAACTACGAACTAGCAATGGCTACCGGGCGTGAACTGACGTGGTCAAGTTTAAACGTTACTCGCGCATTGATCAAGTGTCGACGAAGCACTTAGATTAACTACCTTGCACTGTTAAAGTCAACACTGCAGCAAAATTGCTCAAATCAGAGGAGAGATTGAATCCTGGAGTGCTCAAACAAATAAGGAAATTGTGGCATGCAGGCCAGAATATAAGCTCGCTCCAGATAATGATATCGTAGTGACAATGGAACGGCGCATCTCGCATTGTGTATAGCGGTAATTCACAATCAGCTTTATTCTTTAACCCATACAATGCGGCGCAATGACCGTTTAAACTGGGACATTCGTAGGAGGCCACGCATATCGGTTAGGGCGATGGAAAAGCAAAAGGCTGAGATTGGGATTGCAAGCAATTGTGGCTTACCATGATCATACAAATCTGCCCACATTCAGGGTAGTAAATTCAATATCTAAAATATCATCATACAGAAATCGCCAAAACAGTGTTCTTTAAGTAGTCTGATAAAATGCTAGCAAATTTCAGTATCCAAAATGATGTGTCCGGTGTGTATTTGTCAAAGAATCACAAAAGATTTTTGAATACCACAAGACTTACGCATTGGCCCGATTGTTGGCCACCCGCTCCGCTGCATTGTATACAAGGACACACAAATGCGTAAGTTCGAGCGTTTAATATCTGTGCATCCTAATGCTTCCGGTCCTACTGACAGGTCTGGGTCTATTGGTAGCTAATGCAATCTAGTTAACAGGTCAGACAGTGTTTTGAATGAAACGGAATGTAGATTGTTAGAGAAAGGTTTGATCTTTACTATCAATAAATTCAAGATATATGCGGAAGAGATTATCCCAAGTGTTGAGAGCGCGATGACAAAGTTGCCTGCTGCGAAGGCACAGAATATTCGGGCACAGTTAGTAAATATCAGTAAGTTTCAGCAACCGGGTGGGCAAAGCTCCCGCAAACTGAAGGTATGGCATTAAATTCCTTGAAAGAAGATCGCAGCATTGTACTTACAATGGCTGACAAGGGGAAAACCCTGATTGTAATGAACAGCTCAGAATATTTGGAAAAAAGGGGACAGTATTTGGAGACGGGTCCATATAGAGTAGTTGTTGACAAGTCCGTGCCGTCAGTAATGAGGAAGAGTAACACGAAGGTTGGTAATTATATAAGAACCGTGAAGGACGATTTAGGGAAAGCAAGTGGTACAGTCTATATTCAAAATCGACTTTACCACTGAGTGTTTATGGATTGCTAAAATTGCACAGACCCGAAGTTCCCTTACGGCCCATAGTCGACGGTATAGGCTCCCCGACCCATGGACTGGCTAGATATTTGGCAAGTCTATTGCAGCCTCTAACAGGGTGAACTAGTACATTCGTGAAAAACTCCTACGAGTTCGCTCAAAAGATAACAAGTCTCAAAATCGAGTCAGATGGTTAATGGTCAGCTTCGATGTCGTATCACTTCTCATCAATGTACCCAAAGAAGAGGCGCTTGGAATAGCAAGACGTTGTCTAAATGAAGATTTCACTATAAGTGAACGGACGAAACTAACGGTTAACCAGATAATCGGGGGTATGACAATGCATCTTAACATGTCTTACTTCATTTTTCACTCGAAGCTGTACAGTCAGGAACAAGGTTTCGCCATGGGATAGCCAATATCCCCTGTACTGGAGAACATGTGTTTGGAAGACTTCAAGAACAGGGCGTTAACAATCACCATCAACTCATCAAAAGTTTGGTGGTGCTATGTAGACGACTTCTTTGTACTCGTTAAACGGGAAAAGAAGGACATGTTGCTTGCTCACATAAACTCCATTGATGAGAGGATACACTTTACTATTGAGTTGGAACCTTGTAGCAGTACAATACCATTTCT